GAGATTCATGTAACCTAAGATCTTGGCCCGGTTTCAAACCAAAAAAATTTGAAGATGTAATTGACACAGCCAAAACCAAATGAATTGCAGGTCAACTCAAAATTCGTGTGTTTCAACCTAAACTAAGTTAGATTTGATTTTTTTTAATATTTTTTATTTTTTTAATAAATCAAAAAATATAAAAATAATTTATGAATGCTTAACATTATATATTTTTATAACTTGCATATACATAGATTGTTTTTAACTTTTTAATATGAGATAATTATATTATACCTCATGTTTTATATTTTTCTTTTTATAGCCATGTATTATTTCAAAACTTCTCTATATGGAATATTAAATCTCAAATATAATTTTTTTTTAAATTGATATAAGTCAATTTATATGATCTAAAACATGATTACTTAACTAGGTCTACTCTCGAATGACTTGATTTTATAGTATTGCATTGACATTATCATATCTATCTCTAGATATTGTTTTTTTTTTATCAAACAATATCTTTTATATAAAAAAAATTAAAAAATTTAAATTATATTTTGATTAAATTATTTAAATTTAACAAAATCATCTCATCTAGATTATTTTAATAACAGCTATTAAATTGAGCCCTTCGCATAATTTAATAGCATTCCCATCCAACTATATTATTACAAGAGAGGAGAAAGTAAAAGTCATCCCAACCAACCCAGAAGATCTTGCAAATCTTTCTATATTTTTATTTAGAATATCCTTCTTTGCAAATAAAAGCAGAAGAAGAAGCCTGTGCGGTTTGGACAGTGGTCAAACGAAGAGGTGGAAATGGACCCTGAATTTGATAAAAGAATCCAATCATAGAAAGGGACCCACCAACCACGCTGCATCCCAAATCATTGAATCTGTACTTTCATTATAGGCACCGAATTCCACCTCTCAACCAGTAAAAATAATAATAAAAAAAGGGCTAAAGATCAATTAGGGTCCCTTTTACTTACACATTTTAGCATGAGGATATATTCTTATACAACGTTTTAAAATTACAAAAATTAGAGTGCTGATGTTTGTTATAGCAAAATTCTCAGTAACCAAATACTAGAATTTATATATTGAATAATATAAATTTACTTATTTTTCTGTAATTATCGGTGTATATGCTGTAATTAAAAACTACATATGATAGAAGACATCATTATTCATAACATAACACTCCTATTTCCATACAATTAATGATATAATTGTATTAATAGGCTCAAACAACCCTCCATTGGAAGTAAGAGGATTTTTTAACTTCATAAACAGTATAGGGACTAATATGACTAATATATGAAGTTGAGATACCATGTAAAGTTTCTTAGCCTGAACAAATCTTCCTTGGCTGACAGCGTAAAACTCTTCAGGTTCCCTGTACTTGGTACTGTCTTTTCTGTTTTTTTTTTTATCAAAACTCAAAAACCCGACACACATGTCCCCCCCCCCCCCCCCCC